GCCTTCGACCCCCCCAGAGTCTAGGACCACCACTGTCTTTTCACACACAGGTGACATGTGCTTGTCTTTGGACAACTTTTTAATCAATTCCAATGAAAAACAATTCCATTTTCTATTTTTCCCGTACAAAATCAGATTTATTGTCAGGCCTACGTCAGAGACACTGCCAAAGTAAATTTAGAAGAGAAAGGGTAAGGTCTGCTGTGTATTACAATGTGTGTTGTGTTATAAAAGGTGACTTATTTAGGAAATTTGTAAAAACATGGCTTTTCAGAAGGTTGAACTGTCTTCATCATGTAATTATTTTGGTATGCACAAATTAGTAACAAGCAAATAAAGCTCTGGTTCCCCTCTCTTTTGGGATACAATATTAACACATTGCATTGCACAGATATTTAAAAAAAAAAAAAAAAGTAATAGCAATGACAAGTTCCCGAGCAAGTCCAACAAGAGTAATGATTGTAATGACATGGATGCATAGCTGCATACAGGTTATTACCATGACTAAATGTGATGTGCAACTAGCACTGCTGGAAACCTCAAGTTGAGCAGTTGTCTTTGATACGTACTACATCCCGCTGCATGGCATACTTCCAGAGCAATTCAACTGGGGAGAGGGGATGTGAACTTGGATGCAAAGTTTGTCTGTTGGGTTCTCAGGTTTAATAGAATTTGACATCTACCCTGTGCCTTTTACTAAAGAAGACAACGCTGTGCAAATCAAACCCACTCCCTACAAAATCAACATATGGCATGTCAATAACTTATATATACTGCACATCAGGAATCTTTAAGAAAGACAAAACTCAAAGAAGAAAACAAATTACCAAGAGAAGGGTATTCCTCAGCCTTAGGCCTTTTATCACGCTAACACTGCTGCACATGATTTTTTAGTAACTGTACACTACATCAATATAAAGAACTTAAAACAAACCACTTCCAGCTGATTTCAAGGGACATAAGGCAATCGTACAAAATACAAACAGCTCACAAAGCTGGCCAAAGAGTTTACTTACACAGGGCTAGAAGTCAAAGAGCAATGGTCCACCATCATCTCAGGGAGAAAATCCAGCTTAAAAGAAGCCATGATGTCGAAATCTGTTTCGTTTTCTTTCTGCTTTCTTTAACACAATGAAGCTAAACTGACGCAGTGATCAGATGGCGGTGGTAAACTCCAGAATGTACACTTGCTGCTAAGTCCCTGGCGACTGGTGTAATAAGGCAACAGTGCACAAAATGAAAAGAGAAACAGTTTGTCGCAACAGAGCAATCCACATGGAAAACCCATCCACTGGAACACAGACACGACAAACAAAATCTGGCTGAGGAAACACCCTTGTTTCAGAATGAAGAGGCGCACAAATGACAGACACAAAGTAGCAGGCCTTTAGGTTGGCTTTCCAGGTTCTAGGACTAAACACTGCATGGAGATCATGGAGACAGAGGGGTGCTGGGATAACTGGGGCCAGAGAGAGTAATGCCCATTTGGACCACCACAATCAAAGTGCTGATGATCCACGGCCTTTGTGAACATTTCTCCTAGGACAGCAGATTTGGCTGCAGCGTCAGATAAACAGGGTGTCAGATTGATGGTGATAAGGCCTAGTGGGCAGAGGGAATGAAAGGGGAAGTGAATAGTACTCCCCAGCCAGTAGCTAATCCCTGGACTAGCCACACCAGGAGCTAACAATTAGGTTCCGGCCTGAGGGGGGCTGTGTTTGCCCTGCTCCCCTACATGCTGCACTGGTTTGTGTGTTATTTTTGTGTGTGAAAACAGAAGTAAGCCAATGTCAAATAACGCTGGCTTTGTCCTTTGTGCAGTCCACAGTCCACACACAAACTTACATGCACATAAACACCCACACCTATGATTACAGACAAACTCCAGGGAAATGTGTAACAGGAGCCTCAACAACAGTATTGGTAAACCTGTCTTTAGGCATTTGCCTGGACTGAACATAAGCCATCACTGATGCATATCATTTTTTTTCAGTTTTAATATATATTTATTTTGTTCAACAGAATGGTGCCTGTACCAAAATCTTGCCAACTCGTCCTCTTTTTGAATTACATACTCAATCTAATGCTGTCAAATTCTTAAAACTGCCAGTAGTTTCAAGGAAAATCAAATTTTTTTTATAACCCAAAAGCCCAAATTTGCCTCAAGGGGCTATATTCTCAACCCCTTGATACAGATAAAGAAACAATGTCATAAAAATGGAAGAAACCTCAGTGGTAGCGACTGAGAAGGAATTCCTCGTCAAACAGTGTTGTAACAGTACTGTGCGCACAGAAAGGCATCAGAATAGCGTTTCATGATGATTGTATCACCATCAACATTGCAGTTTGCTCATGCACAATAGCCACATCCCAGAAAGTGCAATGTGAAGTAAGGCAACCTAGCTCAAACACATCATGGTGCAACTTTTTTGTTGTTAAATACAAAAGGATAACTGGCACACTTCTCACTTTCCTCATCAAAAAAAAAAAAAAAAAGTGAAAATCAGTATTCACCTTCCATGACTAATCAATGTGTTCTGTGTTCGGACCATTGCAGCTGCTCCTGCTCATTCTCTTGTCAAACTTGTTGTATTATTGTTAGTAACTTTTTTGAACCATATTATCTTTTGCTGTGTTGATTGGAGGACTTCTGTTTTTTTGCTGTCTTTTTGCTACTTGCTGGGCTTAAAGCATGGAAAAATGCGTTTGGGTGTTTGAAGCAGGCTGCAATGTTGCTGCTAAAGGTTGTGCAACTAGCTATTAAGTTCGGTGGGACAAATACGCATTGGTGATTTAAGTGTTGGATGACACTTTTGCTTCGATAAATACTGGTATTTTGTATTTAGTCAGGCTGCTGTCGTTTTATGGTCAATTTAGAGATCTGACACAGTTTAGTATGAAATGCACACTGAAATAGAACTAATCAAAATGCTTTTTCACTGCACTGTACACAAAAAAGCTCAAGAAGTAATTCTCCTAAATAAATGTAAATCATGGCAAATATACACATTCCTCTATTAACAGTGATACTTGTAGTATACACCTCTGACCTACAGCATAACTGAAGAGACTTGAGAGGTATTAAGAAAAAAAAACAGCATAAAGGTCTGCCCAACTATAGTATTTTGGCATAACTGCTATATCTGAGACAAAAAAAAAAAAGAAAAACCTACTAAAAAATAAATTGAACTTTTAGTCAGTTTACTTTTATTCTAAACATCTTTGTTTTGACATTTGTGAATTCTGACCTTTCAGATCCACCAACACCAGCAGGAAGCATCCACCGAAGACTACATGCACATTAAGGCACCTAAAATAAACACAACGGATTGGAATCCAGAGTGTACAAAGCTTAAAAAACTGACTTGGTGATTTAGTGTGCATGGGGTAAACTTAACTTTTCCAAAGCAGTGACATAAGCTGGCCTGTTGAGGTACTTTGTGAACTGTGTAAAGGGATTTGGGGAATATTTTTTCTACATTTAAGCACCAATGTTGGCCCAAAAACATAACAGGACACAGTCTGCTATCAAAAATCAAAAAAGCCTCTCTTGTTCACTTTGCTCTACAATTTCACATCAAATTAAACACAAACTACAATGTCCAAAACAATTAAACTTCACTGCACAACAGAGACTGTCACAGATCAGAATAATGAGCCTCACCAATATTAAATGTAATCCAAAGCAGCAGCTGGATCCAAATGAGTGTCATCTGATCTTCGATTGAACAACAACAGCCACCAAAATCCAGTTACATCATTAATTACTGATAAAATATCTCCAACAGGAAGACAGAATCGATTAGGATCTAACAGCTGGTCAACACTGTGTACTTTTCTTCACTTCAAGACAGGTGAGTCATCACACACTCACAGTTTATAAACTACAATCAAATCATTTTTTAGATAGCTGTCGTCCTCAAGTTGAGCTCCATCACAGTTGTTGGGTCATTTCTATTTAAATGTCAGTCAAGTGGTTATTAGATTATAATCACACACTTTGATAATTCTGCCTCTTTCTTAATCTAGCCAATATGCTTTACTTTGGCTATCCTGTTCATATGGTTGTCTCAACAGGTGTTTATGCGAGAGGTTTATGTCATTCTTGTCTCTGCCTCCATGCAGTTTTGTACACTATTTCATGCTAACTGTGTGTCTTCTCTCTCCTGTAGTTTGTGTTTCATCCTCTCTGTTCTCTCTGCAGGTATCTTATGGAGCTGCACAGGTCTGATGTGCAGCTACTGGTTTTACTAATCTGCCCAGTTTATGTTCTCTAGTAGGGCATCTGTCTGTCTCTGTTTTCCTTAAGGCAGATTTATATCATTAATAATACTATAGGGTCATATGGGTTAACTTGTTTGGAAAATTGGAAAGCACTTTGGCTCAATGGCTATTAAATGTATTATAATATTAAATGTGCTGCATAAATAACAGTGATTTGATATGCAGACAGAATTTTGTGTGTTTAGGAAATCATAAATAAACTAGGTTATTAGATAGTTGAACATAAGGCTGCTATTAGTTAGATTTAATTTGTAGGTTAATAGTGCATTGTAATTGTCAGACAGGCTGGATGGCCCTGTCTCTGGTGCTGCTGCTGGCTTTGTCTGACGGAGGGACACTCAGGTAAAGGTGAGAACAGCAGCAACACTCCGTGTCCCATGTGTGAACAGGGCTTGAACAGGGTTCTTCATCTTATGACTGTGGGAGGAGTGACAGCAGCCACTTCCGTGTTGGGTGACATCACATGCATGCCCACTGTTAGTGCCAGATATCCGCCGTTAACTACAAACCTTCAAGCCAAGACAGTACCGCGAACCGACATGCGAAACGTTCATCACAGCCCCTTTGATGCGCACCGAACCGAGGCTATCATGGCGTAATCCATGTAACTGTTCCTGTCATGTTATCCAACCCCCGTCTAACCCATAAAGTCAATCCTACATGAAGCCTCGACGAGCAGCGGTCGGAGCTACATGACAAAGCTAGCGAGTACTTACAAAGCTTCAGTGCCGAGGCTGTGTAGTGTTCACGTTAGCTAGCTAGTAAGTTGGAGTGATGAACTAGTTAGCCGTGTAAAATGGCAGTCTGTCTGCCCAACCGCCTCCACTCCACACGGCGGAGGGGGGTGGGGGGCGGCCGGGAACAACCGAGCCTGCTGGGGGTCAGCTCCACGGGCTGTTTAAACGGCAGCACGGACACTGGTATGTTGAAATAGAGAAAAAAGCGTATGTGAGGGCGGCCTTTAGTGCTCGCTGCTCTGGGAAACGCCAGTAGAAGTGGCAGTGACAGTTCCCTGAGTTAAGAGTAACGTGGTACGGTCCACAGAGAGGAACTAATATCAGCTCCACTGTCCGCGCGTTCACTTTAGTGCTTCTGTATGCTTTTACATTTTAGCTCTGACTTCAGTGACAGATGTTTTTAGAAAGTTGAAATGAAGCACATGCTGAATAAAAAAATGCAAAAATAAAAATCCATTTTAAAAAGTAGAAAATTGGTTATCTTCAGAAAAAAAGGACAACTTCAAAAGACTAAAGTTTCACAAACACACACATAATAATTCAATTAGGGATGCAACACATTTACCCCCAGGCTGCCCACAACTTCATTACAGCACCAGCAAGGCTATTGGTAGACAATAAATCAACTTAAAATTTGTTAGTAAGAAAACCTATGTGCTACATTTTACGAGCCAAACATGCAAGTCTCAGGTACAACAGCAAAAGCATCCAGTGCACAACACAGGTGAGCACACTGTTGTGCAATAATACGTCAGTGTCTAATGACTCAGCATCGTGTCAACTTGCAGTAATTGCACCACTATGTTAAACAGTATTTGCACTTGTGTAAAAACTAAAGATTGTTTAAATGTACGAGCACTTGATAGACAATACAGAACTCACAGTAGAAACTCTACACAACTAATGTCAGTAATCGTTTAATTCCTGAGAATATATTTTACTTTTCAAGACTTTGTTTAATCAACTTTTATTTTGAAGACAGACTCAATCTTCCTCACCACAAATTTCTGAAGAGATATTCTGAAACTAGTCCTCAGAGACTCTTTTTTTCAGCTGCTCTTTGCAAAAGGTTTTGTGTTCCTCTGCCTATCACTTTAAAATACCCCAAAGGTGTTCTATTGTATTAGAGTCAGGCAACGTACTTGGCCATTTGTTCTTATTTAGAAACTGATTTTGCCTGTGTGCTATGAATTGTTATCATTGTGTGATATTCCTCTTCTGCCAAGCTTCTGCAGACTGGAAGTCACCTTGTCAGCCAGTATTTTGGTATATTCGTGGTGTCATCTCTAAATGCCATCTCCCTAACAGCCTGAGCACTCATGCAACCCCACATCATGTACTCACACCTCCGTGCTCCACTGTCAGGACTGTGTATTCACTGTTGCAGTCCTGGCCAGGTTCATGTCAAACATGCTGGGCTCCACTGGAGTTTTCTTTGTTTCATCTGATCAAAGATTATGCTCCCAATATTCATCAGGCTTCTTTTCGTGTTCTTTAGCAAATTTTAATCGTGCAGTTTTGTAACAAAGAGCAAGCAAAGTTTTTTCTTTGGACACTCTCCATAGAGGTTGTAGTGATGCACCGTCCCTCTCAGTCTGGGCTGTTACAGAAACTCTGATTTCTACTGATGAGCCCTGTTCCAAATCTGAGGCTTTGTCTTTCTATTTTTCTGTGGTAAATTTAATACCTCCTGATTACAGATGAAGCCATGTTTCCTCTGACATTTTTGGGTCACTCATCTTTCTATATCCCTTGCCATTGTGAAGTCTCTCTCATCACAAATTACAGTACTTTTTTTTTTCTTCCCCATTTGGAGACATCACACAGGCATGTAGTTGGACACAGTCCATATGTTAAACATTCTGAAAGTTCGAGTGTTCACAGATGTTTTAATACCCACGTTTATGCAATTTGGAAATCATAGGTGTATACAATTTTGTTTAAATGGTCACAGGTTTTCTAATTTGTATATCAGTGATCACAGGTATATTTACTTTTCTATTCTATTCTGTTTTTGATTATTCATTCGAGAAAATACTCTGCCTGTCAACTTAGAGGTGATACACTTTTGAATCATTTGACATTTAAGCAATATTGGACAAGCTTTGAAGGCTACCTAAAAAATGCAGTGGATGACTTACAATAAACTATAGTGACTTATAATAGTAAATAAAATAGTGTGGGGAATGGGAACAACCAGCCCTCTATAACACTTTCAGTCTGTGATTCAGTTGCTTTAAAAAAAAACAAACAAAAAAAACCCCAACCAAATAAAAAGGTTGTAAAATACCTCAAAATTTTAACAGATCTGGAACTGTCAATACATGAACAAGGTTGGCAATGGATCCGTTGGGTCCTGTGGGTTGCAGAGTTGGTCTCTGTGGATTGAGCTTGTTCCAGCGTATCCCACAGTTGCTTTTTTGGCTTGAGATCTCTCGAGTTTGGAGGCTGGGTCAACGCCTCAGGCTGTTTGTTGGGTTCCATGAGCTGAGAAGGCCGCTGGTCTTTGACAGAGTGATTGCAATGCTTGGTCTAAAACAATGGGTTGTTGTTTTTTTTGTTTAAACTTATTTTTTATAAACCTACTCACTGAACGATTTCTCTTTATTTTTTTTCTCCAGTTTTCTACAGTGCAGAACAAACCTGCCCTAAGAAAGGATAAACAAGAGTTCCCTCTGCCACAGAGGATAAGTTTATTTTGGCTCCCAGCCTCAGAAATGACCAATTAAAGGCATTTCAGATTAGAGTCTACATTGGTGCTTCTGTCTCCACATAAGTCCTCTGAAGAGACTGTGTGATTTGGCCATCATCATGTTTAGTCTGTACATGTTGTACATACGAACATGCCAGTCTTTAGCAGGCATCGTATTTACCATGTTTTCTGTCTGTTTAGCATATTAACACGCTACCATCTGGTGATTTGCACTCAGTCCGAAGTACAGTATAGTTGCTGTTAAATGATTTCACTCTGTACCAAAGTAGTGGACAGAACAGTGGACTGATTGACAGACAGCCAACTACACGTTACAATTTCTAGGACCCAATAAAGCAAATTTGCAGTTATGACAAAAATCCCTTTCAGCAAATATTTAGGAAATCAATTTAAAAAAAAAAAAAAAACAGTTCATAATTCTTCCTGGTGTCTGCCAGTCAAAGCACATTCGTTTACTGCAAGAATAGAGTATAAATACACTAATACAATAAATGTGCTGCATGTGTAGATGACTTGAAACAGCAAACACAGCAAAAATAATACCAGTCAATTCTATTAGATCATGTCATGTTTCCAGTGATTGCATCAAAGTGCTTCACATTGGTGAGTTGTCTCTCATCTGATGTGCTTCTGTTCTTCCTTTTCTGCTGACAAACAGTCCTTCAGCTGTTTGACCTGGTGTGTTCCTCTGCAGTGTCTGATGCAGGTAGCCATTATAGAAATCAACTGCTGTCAGTCTTTTTTTCAGGACCACTGTCCTGAATCCCACCCAGCCATCCTGGAACAGGAAACACATATCAACACAAAGGTTGGAGCCACAAGAAATATTGCAATGACATTAATTGTGAGTCTGTGGGAGATGTTGTGAACCACAGACTCACCCTCGACACCAAGGTGTCATTTTAAAAATAAATCAAATAGAAAAATCACCACAAGTGGAGATTTTTGATATTTTGTTTTCATTTTTTTTCTGGAAAATCTTCAAAAAAAAAGAAGGCTTCTTGAAAATCAGTCTAAAGTTAAAACAGAATGACTTATACCAGTTGCATGTTACTACCCAAACACTGGAGCGTAAAACAGAGAGCAGTAGACAGCAAGCAGGTAATAATAGCTGAAATATCTGGACCAGCTGTCTGAAATACAGCTTTCTAAAAACAAGTATGCAGTCTGAAGGACATTTCCAAAGTGTGCCAGTGAGTTCCAGAGCAGACAGAGAGATTTCACTGAAGTGAGTTAATGTTGAAGGTAAGTAAGTTCAGTGTTCAAGTGCTGACAAAAATACACGATTGTATTATGAAAATTCTTTGTAAATTTAGCAATTTATAATATAGTCACCAAATATATTCTGGGATTGTGACCCTGCCAAAATTACACCATTTATCAGAGCCAGAACCTGGATTATCAACTTTTGAACTAATCATGCCAATTTCAGGGTTTTGTCCCCCTAGTTTGTTGTAAAATTAAAATCAAAGAAATTTAACTTAGACTTTTTATAATTCATGGAATTTCGATGTTTCATACAGCACAGAAAATATGTTCAAGTTCTCTAGACTTGTAGCCATGGTTGTGCCGTTTCTGTCGAGGTGCAGGACTTTAGATTGCAGTAATAAATGAGAAAAAGAGTGAATTTATGTGGCTTTTTTGTCATTTTCAAATGCAAGTTAAATTCGGCCGGCTGACTAAAATAAAACACTGTTCCTTCGTGTCACTATCACTTTATGGACACTTCGCTTGTGTGCTTTTTCTGTGCTGAGGCAGCTTTGGTAGTCAGTGACTTGACATTAGTACTAACACAGCAAAAAGTAGATGAATGAAAACCATCCAGACACATGGCAAAATGAGTTGTTACAGAACCGAAGTGGAAGTGTGTTGCTTCATTTACAGTTAGTCACTGAGGTGAGGCATATAACACAGGAAGACATTTTAAAACTAAACAACAGTCCAGAACAAGATTGGGGGCAGTGGAAGCTGCCATTCTGCTCGGCAGAGACACTTTTTGAGTCATCTACAGTTTGCTCAGGAAAAATGAAGGCACACATTGAACCATTTGTTGTGAAGCTTCAACTTTGTTATAGGATAGTTAGTTGTGGCAATGCTGCACACTTCCCATTTCCAGTTTCCCTACACACCAACATCTTGGTGAAAGCTGAGACGGTCACTGACTATAGAATTTAAGCAGCACTTTTGACATTGTGCTGTCATTAATGGATACCGATTCTCAAACCCTTTCCTTGTGGATGTGGAAGGACTACAACATGAAGATGTCCCCTTGTAGTCTTTTTCCTGCTTTGATGTGACATAAAGACATGTTGGCAATGTTTGTCAAAAAGTGTTTACTGTTAAATTACTTTTACTTTACGTGATCTTTTTTGCAAATTAGCACAGATCTTATTTAAGAAACTGTATTAATGTTGTGACAGGCATGGAGGAAAGAAGGTCACTAGCAGTTGTACAAACCTTACAGCAGACAGCCAGAGTGTTGGACTCCTTCTGGAAGCTCACTGAGCCAGGGATCACTGTCGTCCTTTGATCTGGATGTAGCATATGAGTGATAAATGACAGCTAAGCGTCATGAGATTCAGATTATACATTACTGGAGTAGCATACTCCACACTAGATATCTTGAATAAAGAATTCTGACTAATTAGAGCACCATGTTGTTGATATCTGTAATTTTATTTGTGATAGTCAAGTTCAGTCAATAAATATTAAAACAACTTGCGATACTCTGATTGGGAAGAATAAATGTCTGATAATCAGAAGGCCTGATCCTCCCTGCCTTCACCCCCAGTGTTATTTGGTTCTAAAGTGTACAGTCCTGATTCCACCTATACTGACAAGCACAGTACTATTGAAGTTTCCATCCTGGTCTTGATTACATTCAGGATATGATATTTACACAGAACAATGGACAAACTGGGTATTCATAGTTTTGTGTATTGTAGGTAATGGTAACATCCAGGTTTCAGGTTGCTATTTGAGTGCCTTTATTGAGACGTTTTTCAGCTCCCCAACATCAAAATTCCTCTACAAACTAATTTTGAATTCTAACTGTCTGGACTTTGATGCACTTAGCTTTTCTATCTAGTCACCTAATTAACTGGAGCGAGAAACCAAAATGTATTCTCTCTAGTGGTAGTGTGTGCATCATTATACTGTTAAATATTAAATGTGACTTTGACAAACTCACCTGATAATGAAATGTAACATTTTCCTACAAAATCCATAAGTTTTACTGTACTGTCCATCCATGTAGTCCTTAAAGGTATCTGATGGCAGAGAGAAAGATTATTGTAGAGATTTTCAGCCGTCTTGCATGACTCAGACTGAACAGTCGACATCAGTGATCCACTGCTCCTCACCCGAGATCCGATGGCACGATACAGACGATCGATTTGGTCACAGGTTTGTTCCTCCCACAAAATCCAGCTCATGGATGCATTGATTTTTGGGGCTGTTGGAGGAAATTAAGGGCAAATTTGAAAGATATCCTTGTCTTTCTTATTTAGACTGACTATGTCTTTGTAGTTCAGATCTACATACCAAATGTGGCACCTATCTGTCCTTGCTCCCTTTTATTTGCTATTCTTTCAGACAGTGTACTCAATGTATCAATCAGCTGTAAATCAAGAATACAAATACAGCAACAACGTTACCATGCTGTTATTAAAATGGGTAAGGTCACCGTCTTCTCCCATGCTTGTTCTAACAACTCACCAGATGTGCTCCTTTCGTGGCCAGAGCAGCTCCAAGCTCCTCAGCGGTGCAGTTCTTAGAGACCTGATGAAGCTCCTGATTGAGAATGGGGCCTACATCAAACCTGGGATGTGAATACATGTTTAATATTGATTGCATTTGCAATCAGGAAAAGGAATAGTGAGAAATGTACCTTTTTGTTTACCTGTGAGGGCGGATCTGGATGATGCTGACTGCTGTCATGGTGTCACCATGTAGAATGGTGTGGAAGACAGGTGCTGGACCTCGCCACCTTGGCAGCAGGCTGGGGTGAACATTCAAAATCCCGCTGCAACAGAACAGTGCACACGAAAACAGATGTGCCAGTTATATACAGTTTCTGATTTCATGCTTAATGTGTGGATTGTATTATGTCTACATGTGTATACGTATAGTGTTGTTCCATAAAGCATTCAGACCCATTTACTTTCTGCACTTTACTGCTTTGTAAACCTAATTTAAATGAATACATCTGACATTCTTCTCATGAATTCAGACTCAAACATCCCTAATGATTAAGAGAAAAACATTTTTCTTGGAAATTTCTTAAAAATGAAAAACTGAAACCTATTATCAAAACTATTCAGACTGTTATGGAACTGTAAACTGTGGTTGCAGGCATTCTGTTTCATTTAATAATCCTTGAGATGTTGTTTGAACTTTGTTTGAGCCTACCTCTAGAAAACGGAATGAACTTGACATAGTTTAGAATGACACACATATGTGTGTATATAATTTATGTATTTATGTAATTTACAATGGAGTCATTAAGTTGAAGACACTCTATGTAGAGATCCACACAGGCACAGACCAAGGCAGTTTTGAGTGTTTCTAAGAGCCCACAGGTCATAAAAGCTGTGAAATTGAAGAAGTTTAAAACCACTTCTTCATAGACTTGGCTGTCCAGCCAAACTAATGAGCAACAAGGTCCATAGTCTCCTCAGCAGTCATCAGCAGAGATGGAGAAACATGCTAAAAGGACAACCACCTCAGAAGCCCTCCATCATTTAGGCCTTCACAGTAAAGCAGTTAGTCAGAAGCTACTCTGAGTGAAAGGCAGACAACAGCCCACTTGGAGTTTACCAAACTGCATGTCACAGAGGCTGAGATCAAAATGTCGTCATGGGGATACTGCATATACACTGAACACTGTTTTAAAGTGCCCTTCGTTCTGTTTACTATCCTTTCAGAAATTCTCTTTGTGTCTGTTGTATTATTTTAACCAGTTACCTTCTCTCCACCTCTAAGCTGAAAATGCCTGATGTGACAAAACACTTTGAATTTTTGCATCTTTTATGCAGTAACTGAAGTTGTTTGCGGAGTTTAACAAGTATCTGGACAGGCCCTCTATTAAATCATACAGCCTGCAGTATGAGCAGTCAGATTATCAGACAGATGGAAAACTGTGCACCCAACTACAACCACCAGTACTATTTCCTGTTCAAGGTCAAAGCTGATGCAGGAAGCAGGTTTGTAAACTAGGATGGGGATTTCTGAAAGTTCCAGTAGCCATTTTACTGTTGACCTTTGATTTTTTTTTCTCCAAATACATTTTCCTCAACAACTGTTCATGTTTCTTGACCTGTCTGACCTACTTTTAGCTATGCAGAGATCTCTGCCATTACCTTACAATCCTGTCAAACATAATAACTGACAGAATCAGCTGCCAAAGATGAGAAAACTAAACCCTTGTTGTAACAGACTGCAGTTTTTAAAGTTAGTAAATGGCAGGTATGAGATTTCTATTTGACTGCCAGTGGGTTTAGGTTCAGTGTGTGCTGAGGCCAATGTCACGACATCTAAGATATAGTATGACTTGTTCTGGGTCATGTGGCCTCGCAGTCAGAGCAGGGCAACAGTCAACAGGTTTTAGCGTATCGCTCAATGAATGCTCACTGTGGAAATTTCTTGATCAGTCTCTCAGGGAGTAAAACGCCAAAAGACACAACAACCCCGACATCAAACCGTCCGTCCACGTCTTCAGGGGGCCAGCTGTGGAGTGGAAGCTGGTTCTGCTGAGCAAACCTCCTCACTGGGACGTCATCACTCAAAGTAACAACTTCAAGGTTCTCCACTATCTTTTTACTGGAGCTCCTACAACAGAACATGAAGGTTAGAAGACCTGGCGAGACGATCACACTTTACACTGATCAGTGCTGTCTCCACTCCCTCTGAGCGTTAATATTAAACTGTAAGCTTTACTGATATGCTGAATGCTTCTGAATCGACTTCAAATCAGAGTAGCAGTGATATGTGAGAAAAAAGTGAACACTGACAAAAACATTTTGCAAATGGTCTATTGACTTTTGCAGTGATTTCAACAAGAACCTACAGTCAAGCCTAAAACTATTCCTACTGTTGCCATGATTTGACTGCTCTAGAACATGGTAGAACCTACCAGGACCAATTGGAATGGTGTAGAGGCTACATTTTCTCAAATGTTTGCGACAAGTTCAGGCAATTTAAATTATTTTGGATATGACATCTGTGAGAGAAATGTAAACAAAAAAAGAAAGAAAGAAAAAAAAAACCCAAGCAAAACAAATCAATGAAATAGTATGAATAACATCTCTAACACAACGCTTTAATGTTGTTGTCACCGACTTGTGTCATTTCTTGCCAGAAGAAATCTATCAGTCAAATAAAGTCACTGTAAATCTAAAGTTGGTATAGTTATGACTCATCCTGGGCTTAACTGTAAGATCACCTTGATAACCACCCACACAGGAATATCTCCAGTCATTCAACAATCAGGTAACATAAACACCAGGAAAACTGGTGTAGTACCAAAACCTGATGGGAGCACATGGTTTATATCATTCAGGTTGTTAACGTCTCCAGCTACTTTTATCTGGTCAGTCACAACACAGAAATACACACAACTTTATGTCTGTAGTAACAGTAAGACTGTGTCTTTGTGAAACTTTAACATTTGTTGCAGCTGAATTATTGTGACCAAAGAAATGCAGTTTATAGCCAAACCAGGCCTGATGTTTTAGGGTGATTATAAGCAGTACTATAGCGTCTGCTGCTGAATTTAATGCTTTATGTGTTTGACACGTCTAATATCCTGAATATCTGGATACTCGACTGTAATTAACACAATTCACACATGGCTTTTATATTTTACATTGGAGTTATCTGAAGGGGCATGACCTTTAAACTTTGACTTATATGACCGGAATCAAGTCAATTAAAACATTTCACAATGCATTCACTTTGTGGCAAGTGCATGATCTGAGTCGAACTGTTCAAAATGACAGAACAGGTTACAATGAAGGGCACAGAGCAGCAGCATAATGCAGAGACAAAGACAGATCATTTTTGTATGACTGATTTAAATAAAAGCATGTAAAGCTGCAATGATCCTATCACACTGTCAGCAGCGGTAAAACACCTGCTCTGATGCAGCTCCACCTGGATGGTTCTACCTGCTGCCTTGTGTGTGAGGTGTGATGTGAGTGTGTCCCTGGAGGTCCCAGTAGCTTCCCTGTGTAGAAGTCGCACCTGTTGGATGTGAGAAGTTTCAGAGACTCGACAGCGAACTGATCTGTGCCCAAAAACAGGACCCTCCACGGAGGTCTGGGTGAAGAAGCCAGAGACGTAGAGAACCGCTGCAGGTTAACAACAACTCGTGTTCGGCACCGAGTCCGGAGCCAGCAGGGCTGCAGGAGGCCGAGCAGCTTCAGGCGGACTCCTGCGCTCCGACAGCCCCACATAGCAGCACTTTAAAATGTGTCCGAGGTGTCAGTCGTGACACTGGGAAAGTTTCTGTTCCTAAAGCTTTGCCCCATCCATGTCCACACAGGGCGCCGCCATGCTGTCCGTCTTCCTCATCGTCTACGTATTTTTGTGTGCAGCAGACTGGGCGGGGCTCTCTGCTGCCCCCCACTGGAGCAGCACCCGCACTGCTGCCTCAGACACCTGCAGCTGGATATGTGTCTTTAAAGAGGTAAACCGAGGACAATTATAACACCTTTTGCTTTTTACCAAAGAGATTTTCATAGTTGCCCATCGATGGGCAACTATAGCGTAATCGTGCCCGTGTGTTTGTGTGTGTGCGTGTTTTTTCTTTTCTTTTTTTTTTGTCTGTTAACAGTCTAGGGCTGCAAAGTGGTAAGGTTGCCTCACAGCAAGAAGGTCGTCCTTGAGGACACCCGGGATCTTTCTGCGTGGAGTCTACAGTGTGGGTTCTCTCTGGGTTCTCCGGCTTCCTCCCACACAGTCCAAAAACATGTTGAGGTTAATTGGTGATTCTAACTTGTTTGTAGGTGTGAATATGAGTGTGCTTGGTTGTGTGTCTCTAAGTGTAGCCCTGTGATAGACTGGCGACCTGTCCAGGGTGTCCCCTGCCTTCGCCCTGATAGACCTGAGGCAAAGGTCAAGGTCACACTGAAGGTCTTATATCATCACATATTTTAAATCCATTATAACGTGGAAAGGTTTAAGATAAACACATAGTTTCTTATTACAATCAGACCCATACTGGTGATGTGACATTTGACCTTGGATGAAAAGGTCATGCATCTTAGGTGCTTAGCCACAGGTGTAAATTACAGCGAAACTTCCCCTCCATGCAAAATATCTGTGTTACATGACAGACTAAGCTTTTGTTACATTATGTATCAATTTAAGGCAAAATCAAGGAAAGTTCATCCTCAAGTAGGTGTACAGTAAAACACAGACTTAGGTAAACATGCATACATTGGGCAACTATGTCCCTCCACTGAGGGCTCTCTACTTTTATATTCCCTTTGTTTGTCTACTAAAAGTAATAAATAATAATTATATCGACAGTAAACAACAGCAGTGAGTACACTACTATGCAATATTCCTTGAATGTCAAATGATCCTATGTGTGTTAAACATTAGAATATTTGATCTTATTTAAAATCTTATCTTATTTAAAATGTAATATGAACAGGCTTTGCTGCGATATTCTACCATTCTTCACAGACCATTTTTTTCAGCTGCTCTTTGCCTGAAGGGTTAGTGTTGCTCTACTGTTCTCTTTAAAATATCCAAAAGGTGTTCTGTTAGATTCAATTCAGGTGACATACTTGGTCAGGTCACAGTTTTGCTGGAATATTCCTCCTCTGTCAAGCTTCTGCAGACAAGGAGTCCTCTTGTCAGCCAGTATTTTGGTATATCCACAGTATCCACATTTTCTATCCTCAACCTCTATCCAGGGGCAGCGTTTTTCCACTACAGCCGTCTGTAACATGCAGGACGTCTCCTTTTTCATGGTACCATGTATACATGTTTTCTTTCCAACATTTTGTACTGATGTAGCCCCATATCATCACACATTCACCTCTGTGTATCATTGTTAGGACTGTGCATTCACTGTGGTAGTCCTGACCATGTTCACATCAAACGTGCTGAATCCATCTAAGCCAAATGAATCCATCTTGGTCTCGTGTGATCAAAGAATGTGCTCCCAATATTCATCAGGCTTCTGTTCGTGTTCTTTAGCAACATTTCATTTCAGGCATTTGACATTGAGGTGATACTGACCAGGAGTGCACTCATTTCTGTTGTGTACTGTATACATCGGTCATATTTTCCACTATTAGCTAATAAGCACAAGAGCCATTTTGTGACCCATCTGTGATGCTGGAAAGCTGCCAAACCAATTCATATCAAATTTAAAATACCTCAACAAAGTTCACATTCTACAACAACATTCAACTTCAGTACTTTATTTTATTCATGACGGCAGTTAATGGTCAGTTTGTAAAATATTGGACAGCAGTTACAAACAGCAATAATAACACAGGTGGAGGCCACAACTAGTAGAAATAATAATTGTTAAAATCATAAAAACAACACAAGTAGGCAAAACAAATCAGTCACTTACTCACCCCCACCAGTCACTCACAGTGGAGGCAAATGTAGTTGTGGCCTCCTTCGGTGCATTCTGCTTTGCACTAATGGAGCGAGAAATCCACTGCTCCCCGACCAGGATCTTAAATATAATTTATTGCAGATAAGACTGAGTCTGTGTGCTTTTCTTTATCTGCTTTTTTTGTCCTGTCTTCCTTTGTTCTGATAAGATTGTCAAATCCATCCTCTAGGAACTTTTTTCCCTTGCTTCCTGTACAGGTTTCCTGTCCAAATTGAGAATGTCACTGAGCCTTGTCCTCTGCTGTTGACCTTGTGGGGATCAACTATATATGGAGTATTTCTTAAAAATAATTGCTGTACAGGCAGTTGGCCTGTATGATCCAAGACTGTCGACTTCATGGAGAGTTTTCCAAATCAGTATCACCATTGCACTCAGTTGGGATTACACCTTGTTGCTGTACTGTATTCATGACGGATATCATCTCCTCCAGTGCCAGGTCATTTATCTGTTTATTCATCTCATTTGTACTTGGATACTTACACAGGCCACATCTCCCAGGACTGATATTATACCCTTGTGATATTGCATGCTTCATTTCATCCTTAGAAAAGAATACACTGATCCCATCATGATCAGGGTTTATTTCAACTTTATGTTCTTCATGTTCAGCCATTTTTTGAACCTCTACCAACTGTTGTGAAGACTTAGTTGTTTAATTCAATTATAAAAATAAATATGATCCTGTTTTAACGTCTTAGACTTAAATCTGTACAGGGAGAACGAAGACATGGAGAGAGCTGTTAAAAAAGCTATATATGTTCTTTACTAAAGTTCCTCCTTGCAGTTGTGTGCTGAAGAGGTCCATAGAGGTTCATGGTATGCAATGTTCCTCACACTGTCTGAGTTGTCACAGAACCTCTGATTTCCACCGGCAGCCCCTGTACCAAATGAAGCTCCTGCCATCTGTTTTTCAGAGCTACATTGTCCAAGTAGTGCACTGTCCATGGGGTCATTTTTACAAGGATCAGGATCAGCATTCTGATCTTCAAAGCTCATTTTAGAAACATGTTCATACAGTTAGAATAACACGAAATCACAGGTGAACTCCATTTGGTTTCAGTGATCACAGGTTTTCTAAGTTGTGTGTCAGTGTTCACAGGTGTGTCCAATTTGTGGCCTGTGTTTTCCCTTGAGTTTTTGCAAAGTATTTGTTTATGATTGTTCTTGTGAATAAATATGTAATGCTGTTGGAAACAATCCAACTATTGTAAGGTGATCCAGATCCAGAGAAGGTGATTTAGAATCATTTGACATTTAAGTAAGATTGCACAAAGGTGTGTTCACTGCAGTTGTAAACTATGTATCAGATCACAACATTGCATAACGTGTTTGAGTTTGAAACAAAAGAAAGAAATCTGACAATAAATAAGGCTTTAATAATCTGCTGCCATCCTCTTTGCAAATCATAGGATCAATGACAGGTAATGAGCAGCAGGTTAACAAAGTTGGATTGACACAACTCTCTTTTACAGGAATCTCATGGAACATAGCAGATTTACACAACTTAAAAAACAACAGCAACAACAAAACTTATCATTGAGACTAAATCTTTACTCCACTTTATCATACTGTATTTTCTCAGGCTGAGACAAGACGGAAGGAGTGTCTGACTGCTAAGTAGAGAGTAAGTTTTTCCAGAGTTCATGGGAAGGTCTGCTCATCATTGAATTACTCACCTGTCTTCCTCTGAACACCTTAAAAAGAGACACTGTTAAAAAGCTGTTTAGTGGTTTCTGATATTACTCGTGTAGTTGTTCTGTCCTCTGTCAGTTAAACATGTGTTTGCACCATCCACACATGATATAAGATAGAAAGCTATTCAAAGGTGCTGCAGAGCCTTTAAAACAAATGCACATTCCAGGTCCCAGATCCAGTTGCTGAGTCATTATTTATACAGTCTCATAGTCACCTTGTCTGTGTAGTTACTTCTTAAACAGAGGCGTTGAGAGATAAATAACGTTTCAGGAAACAAATCTCTGCTTTTTCATTGGTATCTGAAACTATTATAAATTTGAAAACCAGTGAATGTTACATTGAGCAGTTTAAAAGTGAGAGATCAACCAGTACACACCTATTTTGTGTTAGTCCACACTGATTCTCTCAACACTTGGCATATGCAGGTGTATATCTGCGGCATCAACGCTGTAGGCCAGTGGTTGGGGTTGTACCTCCCTCTGCTGGACACTGTCAGTTACTGCACTGATGAAGCTTGAGAAGATTTTTTCTGAGGGTCATTCTGCTGCTTCATATTACTTGATGGTCCCTGTATTCTATAGAGTAAATAGTGAAATATAAAAATGCTTGGCAATTTACTGAAAAGAAGACAGCAAGAGTGAACATTGCTCAACCTGCCATACTTTCATATCACTGAGGAAGTGAAAAACCCAGACTTAACTGATCTGTTACTTAGTTTAACACCACTTTCACCTTAAAGCCTCCTGTGGGGGCGATGACACTAAGACAGAACACCTTCAGAATTCACTGAGATATGAGCAGCAGGTCCTTCAAGTCCTGGAAGTTGTGAGTTGGGGCCTCCATGGGTCAGACCTTTTCCAGCACATCACGAGATGCTTGATCAGACTGAAGTGTGGGAACATTTCTCAAACAATTCCTTAGCATTTTGTTGCACGGTCCCAGCTGCTGAAAGAGGACACTACCATCAGGGAATACTGCTGCCATGAAAGGATGTATGTGGTCTGCAACCATGTTTAGGTAGGTGGTACCTAAACAAAGGGAACAAAGACACCCACTGGTTTGTCTTCTTCCCATAGTGCATCCTGCTGCCATCTCTTCTCCAGATTAACAGCTCACATGCACCCCGCCATCCACATAATGTGAAAGAAAATATGAATTATCAGAGCAGGCCACCCTCTCACACTTCTCCACTCACATG